ACTTGGAGCGCAAATACCTGCGCGATCTCCGCCAGCTTTCGCCGTCGAACCGCGGAGCCCCTCTTCCCGCTCACGAACCCGAAGAAGACGAACTCATGGGACGGAAACCCGGCCACGCTCACGGCGGCGACCGCGGCGCAGGCACCTGGGACGGGAACCACGCGAAGCCCTTCCGCCGCGCACGCCGCGGCAAGCTCCATGCCGGGATCAGAGATGCCCTTATGTACGAACAAAGAAGGACATGTGCAGAGAAAAAGCGCGGGCAGCTGCTAAGACGCGGGCAGCTGCTGTGACCTTTCGCTGGCGCCTGGTCGGTGACGATAGGCTGAACGAACCAACTTGTACGGCCTGCTGTCGAGACGGCACTGCTGTCGGACACCGAGAGAGATTGCGGACGGCTGGATGCCCACTAGCTCACGACCTTCGATGGGCATGCGTGTCCTTTCGAGCCGGACTCCAACGGGAAAGCGTTCTACGTCTGTGTCGTTCGGCATTCTGGGGGTCATCACAACAAGGACCCCACGCTGATTCGCCCCTGGTAGCCTTGTCCGACCTCAGGTGTTCGCGTGCCGCACTTGCTTTTTCACCGCGGCGTGCAGAGCTGCGCCGAAAAAGAGAGGGAAGACGGGCCAAACCCTCCCCGAACGATCCCCAGAATGGACCTGCTACACTGCAAATCAGTCAGTTCGAACCAAAAACCAAGCGCGAAACACAGAGATTTTTCTTACCGGGGTCCCCGCATCACTCACGACTGCCACCGACTTCCCCCCCCTACCCGAAAGGGGCCGCACCACGCGGGGAGAACGAACGGGACGGTAGGCGGCCGGGGGCGTACATATCGCAATCAAAAGCGACGGGAAAAGGGTTGAAGTGAGGCACGAACCGCGGCGGGAGCATTGCACGAAACTCAGATAATAACACCGCGGTTTGCGACGGTAAGACTTGCGCACAAGTTATGAGGGAGAGTAGTGGATATTCCCCGAAAGAGACGCGTCAAACGTGGTCTGTCTTCGGAGGTTTGTGTCGAATCGGGCGGGACTGGCGACAAATTCCAAGGCCATCGATCAGTCTGCTTCCAAAAAAACAAGCGTGGCAATCACACCAGGCAAACTCCAGACACATAAAATCAAACAACCCCATGTCTCGACAAAGTAAGCAAGAAAACCAGCACAAACAGGACAAACCGGCGCAGCGGTGCCAGTACACTTAAACTGAGAGAGTTTTTCTCACCTCGCGGCTTGGACGATCTCGGGCACGCGCCGCTTCGTGTTGTGGTCGTGGTGGCTCACCAGCCTACCCTCCCTCTCCACCCCGAGCAGCTTGAGCAGACTAGACGATAGGATTGAAAGTAGACGAAGTCAGAGGGTTCATGTTCCTGCTGACATCGCTAGGTTTGTCGGGGCGAGCAAGAGGGGTAACGTTCCGGCTGCCATCACTGGTTTCTCGGGGCAATGACGTAAGCAGAGCCTGAACTAAATCCAGTGTCCAGCAGCTCCCCCTTGATCCTGACTGAACAAAAAAAAAAAATTCCAATACATTCCCTGTGAGACTTAGAAATGGTCACGAATGAGTTAAAAGTCTGGCGACGATACCTATATGGATACCGTAATAGTCGGAGCGATGGCACCGGTCGGGGAGATGGCACCGGGGTGTACTCATAGTCGTGCATGTCGTAGTCGTTAGACCATTGACCTCGCATCCCTACAAAGCCGGGACGGAGCACGCCGGGTTCCCACCGGACCAGGCTCTCACATCACCAAGCGCAAAACGCCGTGAGGTATTCGGCGAGTCGCATGAGGGTGCGCTGCATTCTGCTAAGGGTGTTCGGCATCTTGTGCTTACTTCCTTGCGTACGGATGACAGCTGCGTATGACTTACTTTATTTTCTGGTGCTTTCACTTCCAGAGACAGTTGTAAGCACTGTGTAACTGCCTCGAGCGTGCTCGACCATTCAACACAACGTGGTGGGATCATCCGCCTTGCGCGGAGTGAGGATTGTCCACCCCGCACAACATGATCTACTCGACCACCGCTATGGTTGCCGCCAAAAAAAAAAAGGTAAAAAAAAAACGGTAACCTGGTTGCCGAGTTCACGAAGTGAATTGGCTTGTTTTACAACGTCGTTGCCAGGCGACGAAAACCCAACCCCGATGGCAAACACCGGGGGGCAGGGCACCGGGGTGGGCAAAAAATGCAAGAACGGCATGATTTAATTCGATTTACGCCCCGGAGTCGGTGAGATCGCACCATCTCACTGACCCCCAAATCTAAGATTGAACTCCTTTTCAGCTACGGGAGTGAGGTACGTGTGCGTACGTTTTGCACGTCGGAACCGTATCAGCGGAGCTCCACCCCTGTCCTGTACGCGCGTATGCATGGTCGCGGTTCACGCGGGATGCCAGTTGCCAACTGTACCCTCAACCAAACACACAACGTACAAGCCGCACCCTACCCCACCTCACACAACACGAAACTATTGTACTGGTGCGTACCAGTAGAGGAAGGCCGAAACGAAAGCGGAAGACAGCCAGATACCGTATGAACCGGTGCCTCAGATGGACATCACATCGTTTCTTGTCCTTGTCACGTTATCTAGCCAAACTCGCTTTCAAACACAAGACCACTCGCTGCATTGCAAGCCGTTACGTGCCAGCCTACGTTGCCGTTACCGGTGTGCTTCCAACCAGCAGCAACGGTACCTACACGGACATGTGGTTTTGACTGATCAATAGCATTGTCAACTAGCGTATGAAGAAGACCGTATGTGTCGGTATGCCTACACTGACTGACTGGTCTTAATACTATGGTACCGGTCGGGGAGATGGCACCGGGGTGCGTGCATACAACACCCGCGCGTTTTTCATTGGGGATGGTACCGGTCCGAAAGATCGCACCGGGGTGCCTTGAAAAAATTAAACGAAATGATATAATTGCATTTCCGCACCGGGGTTGGAGAGATGGCAACGGTCGGAGAGATGGCACCTGGTCGCGATAAAAAAACCCGAGGAATAAACACTTGAAAAGCGATCGCACCCGGTGCCATCTTTCCGACTATTACGGTACCTAAACGCGTGTCGGGGATCCGATACAGCGGGAAAGTGTCACACTTATGTGCGTGCGGAGTTCCGAAACCCCGCTGCTCTCATTGGCCTTACTCTTCGGGAGGAAGGGGGATCTCTTCCCCGCGGAAGTAACACCACGAGGAAGAGCTCATTCGCGCTCTTTGATGCGTCCTGCCCTTCGTTCGATCGGGCTGACTCAGCGGGGGACCGCCCCGCTGCTGGACACGAGTGGCACCGAGGCAAAGCCAAGACATACCGCGACAACGGTAACGGCACGGACAAGAGCAAGAACAACAACCACGCCCAGGCAAGCCAAGACACGCCACGAAAGCAAGAGCACGAGCCAGAGCAAGAGCAAGAACATTGTACGTCCATGCTCCTCTATGAAATGCGGGCAGCAGCATTGTGGTGCGTATTTTTGCTGTTTCGTCTCAGTCCTCTACCTGCCGGTCGTTCTCGTATCCTCGGCGGCAATCACCTCCGCCGTTCTAAGGATGTTCATCGCCCTGACGAGATAGGAGCAACACAGCGGTGGAATTGTTGGGGAGGAGAGGGTATACTCGTGTAAACGTAAGCCGTAGTCGTTAGACCATTGACCTCACATCCCTACGAAGCCGGGGCGTTTCGTATGTTGGTCACACGTATACCCTGCCACACAGTTTTCTTTTCGTACGCTAGGCTGTGGGAGCAAAAATATCTGCCGAGTAAAAAGCGCCCAGCCGCGACAGTACGCACACACAGAGGGAACGGACGGCAAATTCGTTCTCGCATTCAAAAAATAAAGGAAAACGCATTGCAGAAGAAAAGTGGAGAACAGTTTACCTTGTGTGACTCGGGCTACACAGTGCGTCAAACATATGCCGACTGTACAGCAGTAGACCGGGGCCCTGAATAGCAAAGTGACTATCTACCACAACATACATACAGCGGGAGCGACCCCGAGGCAGTTGAGATTCCAAAAACCGGCACACGGCCACGTAGGGCCGGCTTCAACTTCAAATACGGACGATGTTCGTAATCCAGGTTGGATATACACTCAAGCAGATGCAGTTATGTTTTGCAGAACAACAGCAGTGCGATCGGTACGCGACGCAAGCCTTCAATAGTGACGATGGTTCCTGTCCAGGGTGGATTGCTCTACTACAGGGTTCACAGCTGGTGTGTTGGGCGGTTGCCGATATATTGGATGCTTGCTCGTTGAACACACATACATATTGCCATCTGCTAAACAAGGAACACGCGTCTTTCTGCCCTCGTTGTCTACCCGTGAGTTGCCTAGTGTTCTTCACCGGCCGTGACGCCCATCCGCACGAGGGTTTTGTCTGTGCGCATGTTTTCTCAACTGTTGCTGCCCCTACCACGAGCCGCTAGCACCTGATGGAGGCACTCCCGTATGTGCTTGAAAAGCTGGAAGGTGAATATCTGTACAACACAGCGACCACCATGCTCCTGTGCCGTATCTGGAAGCAAAACTACTTGACGCCCTTTCTCTGCCTTCTCACCTCAGCGTGATGTCTTCCAGGTTGCCTATCGGCGTTGACACGAAGTAGACCACCCCTGGTTCTGCAACTTGACCTGGTCGCCTGCTGGCAGTTGTAGTTGCTGCAGTAGTAGTCGTAGTAGGGGATGTTCCCTCCTGCTCGCTTGCATTTGCATCGTCTGCCGATTGAGACGCTGACGACAAGCTCGACGCTTGCCCGCACCTCGGCCTATGCCCGTACCCCGGCGCACCACCACCGCTGCCACTGCCAATCTTGCCGAGGGGGAGATCTCGACTCCGCGGGGAGGAGGACCACTTCGAAGTTGCTGGTGGAAAAGCTCCGCCGCCACCCGCATTGTCGCTGATACCCCTGCTGCTAAAGCAGCAGTGGGGGTTCAAGAGACGCCAAGGCGCAGAGTGGACAGGCTTCTGTCTTAATGTAACGTGGCAACGTCGTGCGCCCGTTGATGTGCTGGGTGATACTCCTGGAGAGAACGCAAACGCTGCTGCCCTGCCGTGCCTTGTTGAGCGTGTCGTCCTAGCCGCAGACACCAGGCACCGTCCGGTCTCCGCCATGATGATCTCCGTCAACGGCAGTACTACTATAATTACAGCAGCCAAGCCGCAGCGACCTCTAGGTTGCATAACAAATGTTCAGGGCGACTAACACCAGCCCCGGCACAGGTCCTGCACAACCCAACACACGCACCAATGCAACATCTTGCATCGGTCGCATGCTGCTGCTGGACTTCCTCGTGAGATGAGAACGCCATATCTCATTTTTTTTCAGCGCCCCCCTCCATCTCCCCCCTCCCATGGCGGCTGAGAAACGCCAGCACCCGCGTAGGAGCGCTTCACGAGCTTGAGGAGTGAAGGCTTTGTGTATACACGCCTACCGCGGCTGTCGGCCTCACTCCCAAACAGGCGAGATACCTGTTGGGTGTGCCCGACGACTACAAAAAGGTGTGCAACGTGCAACCAAGCAACCAAGCCGCGGGACTGTTCAGAACCGTGGTTCCCGTAAATTGTGCGGGTGATTTCTGTTTCATCTCTGTCTCTGGCTCGTGCTGGTGCCCGATGCAGAGCACCACGTGTGCTGGCTGGCTCTCCTACGAGTCATGGAGACGGAAGCCTTGCATCTCTAGTTTCAAGGACACTCAGCCGCTCCTAATTTGTGTCAGTTGGAACTTGGCTGCCTGCCGTTGTTGTTCCGTGTTCGTGTGAGAGCACAAAATTCGCGCGCTTCCCGCCTTGCCGTGCGACAGACGGTTACATGGGATCAACATAGCAGCCACGATTCCCTGGTGCCGGCGCACCGTCGGAGATTGTTTACTCTACTCTGCTTGAAACCCGTGTTGGCTTTGGTTGCTGGATTACTCGGTACTTACCGTAAGCTTGCAAGTGACTCCCGTTTCACAACCATACGTGTTTTTTTTTTTTCTCCATCATTGGACTCTGTCGTCTGGCCCTCTGGCCCCTATCCTTCACTTCTATCAGCTAGACGACCCAACCGGGGTCACACAGGAGGGGGGGATTGGACCCCCTCCTGCGGTTCTTGCCTGAGATATTTTCATCGCGAAAAGGGTACAGCGATCCCTTCCCTCGCGACTTATGAAGTCGATCAAGTTTACTAACAACGAGCTTTGCAGTGCGTCGCTTCCAACGAAGACCAGGATTTAATAAGCGAGAAAAAACCCACTCCGTCGGGACTCGAACCCATGACCTGGCCCTTAGCAGGCTGCGAGGCTACCCACTAGACCACCGGGGGATAGCGGAGGATTCTTTGGCTTCTCGCCCCCAGAACCCAAGAGACGCGTAGTGGAGCGCGAAAGCCACGCACGACGACACCACCCAAACCAATCTCTTAGTGCGTTTCATCTCGAGCCAATAACTCCCATGAATGTACAAGCGAGCGACCAACAGGGATGGAAGGTAGCTCAAGTGGTTCTCCCTTGCCGACTGGATTGGTCCACCAGAGGCAAGAAAGCGGCTGACGAATCAGGCCTGGGTTCGCAAAATCCCTCTACAAGTCATGTACTTTACGCAAATATTCGTGCAAAAAAACACCCAATCCCTTAGCAAACTGCCCCCCGCCGCGCGCACCCTCCAAACAACAAGACAAGTAACAGGCAGTCGTTTCGGCAACAACGACGAACCCGGAGGACGTGACGCCCAAACGCGGGACCGATACATAGGCCCGCGACACGTGGAACAGCGCGAGTCTACCACTCCGAAAAATCTCCAAATCCGCCAGCGCCTCCCTTCTTCGCCTTCGCCTTCGCCTTCCCCTTTGCCGCGGCAGCGGTAGCACGCGCGGCCGCGTCAATCGCCGGGTCTGCCCAGTTAATGCTGCTGCCGCTGCCGGCCGCGCTAACTCCGGCCGCTCTTGCCGCTCCTTCCGGTGCTGTGGCGGCCGACGACATCGACGCCGAGCGGGGCAGGGTGGTCGCGGCTGCGGCTCCGAGATACTTTCCCACTCCTTAGAACAGCATCGGCAGAAGGGGTTGAGAAGGCGGGAAGATCAGAACCAAAACCAGGGGCGGACTCAACGGGCATATGACACACCTGAAGGGAGGAGGAGGGCAAACAAATACCCGGGGGGCGTCAACAAAGCCTCTATTCCCGGGATGTCAGCGCCACTCGTTAACCTTGGAGGTAACGACGCATCTGTCAGAAGCCCCGTGCACGAACGCCATGAATCCCCGGGGGACACAAAGGCCTCACCCTCGGGTTCGTACAGGTCGCACATGTTCGAGAGCCAGTGTTCTGCAATGTGCCTGTGCTGGACAAAGATATTGTGGTCAAGGGGGGTGGGTCGGCACATAGATAGCCCAGTACCAATTTTTCCATCGGGAGGACGCCTATAGCAAGCAAATCTTGCGAGTGCTCTTATTGCAGCTCCGACACTGCTGTATAACTCTAGACCGAAGACCCCACACACAACAGCACAAAGGTTTCCGCTTAAGCGCGACGGTGCGCAAAGCAACACAGGGAGAACGAATCGTATCATCACACAGAAGGGCGTACCACTCCTGGCGGCGGCTACATACTGCAATATTTTTACTGGCCGGCCGGAGGTCCTGGTCTGCGGGACGCAACCGAAAAAGAAACTCGGGCACAATGACGCCAGCAGACAAGCGCTGGGGGCAGGCAAGGACAAGGAGAGTCTTACTCACCGGTCTTGGTGCCCGGCCGTGCTTCTGGCGTCGGGTTGCTTGCCCAGCCGATTCGGTCGTGGTCGGGGGCGAGCGGTGCGGACTTTGTCGACTTTCTTGCCTCCCTTGCCTGTTGCGCGACGGAGGGAGGAGGGATGGTATTTGGGCGAGTATCACTAAATAGACGCCTATGCCTCAGAGAGGATCAGTCCATAACGGCAGCAGGAGGAGAGGTAATGCTAACTCGATGGCAGTATCACGACAGCAGCAGCGGGCAAACAGGCAACCACAGCAGCCGAAACAGCACAAACCAGAAAAGCACAACCACCATAACAATAACACCCGCAGCAACAACAACAACTCACTTCTCTCGCGTCGATCTTGGCCTGCAGCTCTTGCTCCAGCGCGTCCTCCATCTCCGTGACAGGGTTGCTGAACACCGTCGCCTTGACAAGCACGATGTCCTCTCTCGGCTTGTCCTTCGAGTCTGTGGGGACCGCCTCTATCGCGGCCAGCGCTGGCATGCCACTGGTCCGGTAAAAAAAAAAAAGGGGAAAAGGAAGGATGGCACGATGGCGCAGCCTTGAGAGAGGAGCTGGGTCTGTGTCTTCTCACGAACTTTCACCAACAAAAGCAAACAGAGCAGACAAGACTGTCGATGCAAGCGAGGCAGACATCGTGGCGACAGTAGCAAGATAAGAGCGACAGGGGTATCGAGTGCGGCGCCGCTTGCTGCGATCGCAACGAGTCGGCGACGTTCCTCTCGTGAACAATGACGAGAGCGGTCAGTGGGTGGGTGTCATGGCACGCCACAGGAGAACAACGAAGAGGCAGCTAGAGAGACTTCTCCCGCAGCAAAGCAAGCACACACTCTGCCAAACGGAACGGAAGAAGAGCAGGCAAGAAGGGAAAACGAGTGCGGATACGATAGCCGAGAGTAGATGTCTTTACGCTCTCTCCTCCGGTCAAACATGGCGCCGTACACGCATGTGTGCGTGGCACAAAAGGAAGCACGACAGAGCGAATAACTCAAGTTCATATTTGGGATCGCTAAGACCAACACTTTGGTTGATGCAAGGCGAGGTATAAAACCGTAATGCTGTGTTGTCTCTCCTCCGGTAGACTGGTTATGGGCTGCGTGAAAGAGACAAATCCATGTGCACGTTGGCCCAAATGCCTCCTTAAGACAAACGCCAAATTTCAAATCGTATGGGAAGATGGCAACACCTGAATTGCGACCAAGGCCCAGCTTGAGGGTAATCGCATTCCCAACAGCCTCCATTTCCCGCCCCCATTTTTCCCCTCCCTCACCCGGTACGTTGTTTCCCCCCAATCACAGATGCAAACGACAAGAATTTCACCCGCCGAAAACAAGAGTGCGCCTAAAATAGTGCCACCAACAGAAAACAACAGGTAACGAGCAAACGCCTCTCCCTCACCCGACCACCCTGCCGAAGACGGAGTGTTGGTTGTCGAGGTGCCTGCACGACTTGTACGTGATGAAGAACTGCGAGCCCGTCGTGTCCGGTCCCGAGTTGGCCATGCTCAGCACGCCCCTCTTGTCGTGCGTCATGCGGGACTCGAACTCGTCCTTGATCTTGCCGCCCCAGTAGCTCTCGCCTCCCCGCCCGGACCCCGTCGGGTCTCCCCCCTGCATTGGCGTTACGATGACGGGGGGGGGGGGGG